TCAAAGATATAGAATTAAAAAAAAAAAATGCAAAGGGTAGGACAGTTTATAGTATACTATCTTATGCTTAAGAAATCTGGGAGGAAAGAAAATGTATATAAGCTTTTTAAAGAGATAGCAGAGGATAAACAAAAAACTAATTAAAATTGTTAGCTACAGAGCAGTGCTATAGAATAGAACATTCTGCAATGACGGAAATGTTCTCTATCTGAACTATCCAATGTGGTAGCCATTAAACCACATATGGCTAGTGGGCACTTGAAAACTTGAAATGTTGATAGTACTTAAAGGACATGAGTTTTTAACTTTAATTGAAATTAATTTAAATTTAAATAGTTACATGTGGCTAGTGGCTAATATATTGAAGATCAAAATATGTAAGGGGAAAGTGGGGATTAATAATGTAAGCACATTCCGTGAATATATCTTGCCACATATTGGAATCATGTAATATTTTTCTATAAATTAAAAGACAACTAAGACAAAAAGAAAAAAGCAAAACAACTCTAAATTTAAGACATTCGGAAACAAACCTACCTATCAAATTAGTGGTATAATCAGGCAAAGTAAAGCTTTACTTACTTCAAGCAACTTTAAAGCACAGTATTTTGATTGTAACTACCTGGTGACAAAACTAACTGAAATGTCAATATGCATTCACTAATCTTATTTTATTTTGAAACTATTATATGTACATTGTATGAGAAAGCAAATAAGTAATTTTGTTCACGTCCTTAGGAACCAAGCTTTTTAGTAAAATAGAAAAGAAATAAGTATAAACAAGTAAGAAAAAATATCAACATGGGATCATGATTAATTTTTCTCAAAAAAAAACAAAAAAACTTATTCCTCTTGGCTATCCACTGAAAGGACTAGAAATAATGACAAACCTAAACAGTGAAACATTCCTAGTTCTCAGCCTGTAGTTTCAAATTGCATGTCCTACTAAAAGTAACAAGGATTCTGAAGATGGCTGATTCCAGGCCTGATACAGAAAATGCACACAATGGAGCTGGGAACATCTTATGAGAAAAAGCAAGAAAGCAAAATACCAAACACTAATAAGTACATGTCAAAAGGACTCAGTAGCCAAAGAAGGAAGATCTTGATCATCAAAAGCAATAATGATTGCATTGGATTGAAACATATACATGTAAAAACTAGAAGTTCATAATAATAATAATAATAATAATAAAATATCCCTTTTGGAGATTATTAGAACACTAATTCATTACTCTAAAAATTTATAAATAGAGAGTGTCAAGCATTTATTCTGCCATTCCTGAAAGAACTGTATTTCAGAGTTTCCTTTATTAAATCATTCCAGTTAAATAAAAAAGAATGACAGAACTACAATCACCATTTCACAGCTCCTAATGAAACAATGAATCAATGTAACCCAGAACAAATAACCCAGTTGCTCCAATAAATCAATGGCATGGAAATAAATAGAGAGGGAGAGCTGTTTTAGAAAAAGAGAGACTTAAATGACATAATAACTGAACACAACATGTGAACCTTTCTTGGATCATGACTTGACCAACTGCAAAAAAAGACATCTTTGAGACAGAAAAGGAAATTTCTATATAGACTACATATTAGATAATATTAAGAGATTATATCTAATATTTCAGATATGATAAAACCACCATGGTTTACAGAGCGATAATTCAAATAAAAAAAGCCCTTATCAGTTAGAGGTAAATACTAAATTATTTACAGATAAACTGACATTATGCCCAAAATATGCATTATAATTCTCAAAAAAAAAAAAAAAAGGCAGGAGTAAAGGAGAGGAAACTGGAATATAGTGGGGGAACAGATGGAAGAACACTAACTGAATGTTGATAAAAGTTGAAGTTTAGTGATGGGTATATGAGAGTTCGCTATACTATATTTTTAATGTAAGTTTGAAAATGTCCACAAAAGAAAGTAAAGAAAGCCCACACATACATGCCTGTGTGCGCTCAAGCACGCACACACATCTCCTCAGTATAACTTCCTAGGGTCCTTTGGGACTCTCAAAGAAAACAGGTTATTGAATTAAATCCTTTTGAAGACAGCCTAAGAAGAATCCAACTCATTAAGAGTCTAGCCAGTAAGAAATAATAAAGCAAGGTTACTGAGAACCTACCAAGCTCAGAGTAGCAAAAACAAACAAAAATCCCCAAAACCCCAACTCGCTAAACTTTCAAGGCAAAAGACAAATAAGATACAGTTTCTCTCCTCATAGATCTTACAGTCTATTAGTAGAAACAAAAAAGATACAAAAATAATTATAAAATAATTGACGTTATGCTTTATGCATGGACAAGGTACTAGGAAAGTACATTAAGAGGAACCCACTAGAAAAGTGGCCAAAGAGGAAGAGCAGTAAGGGCTTCACAGAAAGAGGGAAGCATGAATAAGTCCTGAAGAATGAGCAGGTGCTATCTAGCTAAAAAGCAAAGTTATATACCTTCCAGACTCCAGAGAAAGAAAGAAACTTGTCTAAAGACCTTGAAGGCTAGAGAGTGAAAGGTGAAAAGAGAAAAAAAGGGGACTTTGAATGAGGAAAAGCTGCATGCCATGTAAAGGAACATGGAATATGCATGAGGCATAGGGAAATCAGTAAGGATCTTAAACAACAGAATGACTGCAACTGGTTTTCATTTTTAAAGGACGACTTTGAGGATAAACTAGTGTCAGGATAAATTATAGGTTAAGATCGGAAGAAAAAGAGTAGTCAGGATCTCAACGAAGTAATATAGATAGGAAACGAGAGTCTGAGCTAAGGTGGTCTTAACAGGAACACAAAAAGAAAGACGACCAAGATACCATGAAGGTGAAAATTTGTAAGTGGTGATTAATTGCATATTTGGGGTCAACAATGACTTTCAGATTTCTAGCTTATTCAACTGTGTGGACAACGGTGCCATTTGCTGAGACAGAAAAACAGAAAATGGAAATGATTTAGGATAGAGAAAATACTATTCAGTCATGCATCACTTAATGACAGGGACTCGTTCTGAGAAATGTGTCTTTAGATGAATTCATCATTGTGTGAAAACCACAGAGTGCACTTACACAAACCTAGATGACAGCCTACTACACACGTAGGCTATATGGTCCTAATCTTACGGGACCACACCGTATATGCAGTCTGTCATTGACCAAAGCATCGTTTTGTGGCACATGACTGTATTCAGTTGTAGACATGGGAAGACTAAGATGCCTGTAATTTTTCCAGGTGCTCATTATCTAGTAGAAATCTGGCAATCAAGCGAGTGATATCAGTCAAGAGAGTTGTCAGTACAACTGAACGGAACTGGATGAGATCAATCCGGAGTATGTAAGACAGACAGAGAAGTCCATAAATGAGACTATGCAGGAGAGACCAGAGAGGTGGGAAGAGAACCAGAAGTAGTGTCATCATCATAGAAGAGAGTGACCCTAAGGAGGAGCAGATCAACTGTGCCAAATGCTGCAAGGTAGGAAATTAAATTAAAGGAAGGGAGGAGGTTCCATTGGATTAGAGAATTATATATTTACTGATGACTTTTGGCAGAAGAATTTCAGTTAAGTAATCAAGCAAGACATCAGATCACAGTGGCTTCCAGAGTTGAGAGAAGAGAAAGCAGGGATTTCAAGTCTAGGCAATTTTTTCGGGAAGCTTTTCACAAGGAAACAAAAAAGAAAACCATAAGATGGTAGCTAAAAGAAGACAGATAGGTCAAGGGAGTTATCTGTTTGTTACAAAAGGAAAGTTTACACATGCTTAAATGATGATGGGGGCAGTGCTTCTTCTACAGGGTTAAAATGTAATGCCATCAGGAGAGGGGGAACAACAAAACTGTCTGCAGTTAAGTGTTTTAAGACTAAATAAAAGACAAATCCTTCCCTAAGTGGAAAGATGTCTTTGGATATGCACTGGAGTTACCCACGGACACGGAGGAGAACAAACATCCAAGCCACTGTTCTAGATTAAACAATGCAACTCATTTGTACTTGTTTTCCATAACCGATTTCTCTAAGGGTAGTAATATTAGGAATATTCTCAAAAACCATTCACTGGACACCTACTATGTGCCAGATGCTACTGACGACTAAGATATCCTACTTGCTCTCAAGCACTCACAGTGTAGTAGGAAGACAGGCACATAAACGACCAGTTATAAAACTACTTAAGAAGTGTCCAAGACACAAGTAAGCACAAGGTAAAATAGGAACACTTCAAGAAAAAGAATATAAATTACAAGTTTAATGATAAAAGTACATATCTTCATATTTCATTTATATAAATTATCAAAAATTTCCCAAAGTAGAGAAAGTTTAAAAAAATTAAAATGTTTGGAGTTAACAAGAATTAAAAATATTCAAAAGGGCAAAACCATGTAAAAAGACATAACACACAGGACAAAGTAACCAGAAAATAAAAAGTAATGATTAATAATGAAATTTCAGTATTAATCAAATAATTCTTTACTAATACATTTATATATGCACATAATAATGTGTGTTTAATTCATAAATTTACCCAAAGACGAGGAACTAAATATCTCTGATAAAAACAAGTTACTCATCAGGGAGTATGAATATGTCTCAAATTAAATAAATTTGTATATACTGCCCTCATGGGGTAGTATATGTAGCTCATTAAAATATCACGAGAAAATGTATTAGACTCCCTGGATACAGTTTATTCCTATTATCCCAGCCAACGAAAGAGCAGCATTGGTGTGACTAATAACATAGGTCATCTAAAAATCATTCATACACAAACTTCTATTTCTGCCAAATCTCCTTCCTGGTCAGGGAGCATTCACCTAGTATTCCGATAGGTGTCATGACTGTTGGGTGGCCTGGATCAAAGATTCCATTCACAGATAATTCAGAAACTGATATTCCATGGATAAATAAATCAAATCGCCTTTTAAATGACATCAGTGTTCCTTTTTTTCTGGTAAAATTGCATTTTTACTACAAATCTCAAAAAGCAGCACTAAAAGAAAATGACTTACAATAACACACGTTGGGACTTCACGAAGAGAATATTCTGCTTTATTAGGAAGATCTTGATTGCCTACCAGCTCATAAACAGCAGGATAAGATAACAAGTTCACCAGTGCTAGAAAAGACTAGGAGGTAGAAAGAAAACAATCATTTAAAGGGATCATTTTTTCTCACCACATCCACAGAAGAGTCACTAATGTAAAGCTTTATAGCAATATGACCACCAGGGTTAATTTTTCAAATAAGCCTAATTAATCCATATAAACTTGAAACACATACATATATGATAAGTAGACATAGTTAAATCAACAATCTATGTGTGGACAACACATCATAACAATTCTAACAACATTCATGAGAATTGGAAAATGTTTTAAAATGTGTCTCTCGAAAAGTTTGGTTCTGAGTAAAAAACGAAATGATCCATCTTTCTCATTGCTTGCACAGTTACAGCTGATGTGTAAGAAAACATAAAAGAATAATACATAGGGGCTCTGAAGCAAGGTCATAAATTCTATATACCTTTGCATGCAGGTCACAGGCTAACTTTACCCTTTACCTGCATTCGCTGGAAATCCAACTAACCTAATTATAGTTAATTTTTTTAAGCCATGGTTTTTCCTATCAAAACCGGCTCCTTTTCTGGTGCAATCTTACCAAGCCAATCTCTCCATGAAATTTTTAAGCTCCCACTCTCATTTCATCTTACTAAAAGCAATCTGAATATTTTTCTCAGGCACATTCATTCTTTGGATCCCCAGCAAAGAAGCTTGCAGTGGTTGCCCATCATAAACGTGGAATCTAAGCTCCTTAGCGTGACTTTCAAGGCACTTTACTAATTGACACCTTTCTTCTCTTCATAGTCTCTAAAGACTCATTTCCCATTTTTCCTCAGCTTGAAGTCACCACTTCAGTCAATCAAACCCGCCTGTGGTCTCCTTCCAGTGACTGCCACATGTACAAACTTTTCTCATCCTACTCAAACGCTCCAGCTGCCCTCCCACTTACTCATTATCCCACTTCACAAGCTTTCAAAAGTTTGCCACAACATTTCTTTCTAGAAGGTTTTCCAATTAACTCTACCCGTCTCTAGAAGACTTACATTCTGCTAATCCTTGCATGTTGAGTTTGCATTGTATTAATTGTACTTATTTCTAACTATTAAGTTTTCTGCTGGTCATTTAAATTTTTTCGTTAGATTCAGACAACTTGAGACTAGACAAATTGAGAATCTTCACTAAAATCCGAACATCAAGAAAATTAAAAGGAACAGTTAACTCAATCTCTCATTTAATAGTTGAGAAAACCTGAGAGAAGTGAAGTGACTTGGCCAAAGACACACAACCAGAAAGTTGATAGCAGAACTTATTTAACGTATTTTCTTATTTCCAGGTTAAGATTATTCATTACAAATCACAATATGATCTTCAGACACTATTTAACAGTGTTACCCTTCCTCCACAGTCCTGCCTATCCAACAGAACATTCTGTGGTGATGGAACTGTCATGTAATCTCAACTGTGCAATATGATAGGCACTAGCTACATGTGGCTACTGAGCACCTAAGATATGATTAATGTAACTGAGAGGCTGAATTGTTAACTTTAGTTTCAATTTAAATTTACCATATGGGACTATCGTCTATCATAGTGTAAAGCACAGGAATAGACAGAGGGAAGAGGGGAAAGGGACTGGACTGAAAGTAAACTTGTTAATGTACTTCATTTTATATTGAAGCCACATTATTGTTTTCTACAATTTAAAAGAAAATAAAATTAAATCCCAAAAGAAAACAGAGTCCCTAGGGAATAATACTTAGGACCACAAACTGGGCACTAAGAATGTTTATTACTATGAGTTATTTCTAGATCTTTCAGTACACAGTTTAGGACAATATACAATTTTCTTTTAAAGGGAAGAGTTAATCAGTTTATATTGACATTTCTAATTCAAAGAACTTGAATAAAATCCCTGTAACCTTAAATTCAAATTAGAAATATTTCACAGGGATTAAGAATATTATGCTACTGTATGTAAAATGTAAGAACCTTGTAATCATATAGATTTGTATACCATTATAGCATTTGCTTGTCCTGTATGGTATAGCTGTCATATGTATTACCTCTAAGGATAAAATAAATCCCACTATGTCATAGCTTTCTTCTAAAGATTCACATGTGATTATAAGAAATTAAGAGAAAAATAGGCTTTTATATTCACTCACCTATGTAATTTCCTCTTTCAATCCTAAAAACCCAAATATCCATTTGGTATCATTCTCCTCCAACCTGAAGAAATTTCTTTAGTATTATTTGAAATGCAGATCTGTTGTAAAATATTTTCTTAGCCTTTATTTTAAAATTTCACTTTTACTCTTGAAGAATATTTTTGCTGGATATAGAAATCTAGGTTGACTCTTATTTTCCCCTTTCAGCACATTAAAATGCCCCATTGTCTTCTGGCCTCCACTGTTTCTAATATGATATCAGCAAACTTATCTGCTGTTCCCCTCTAGGTAATGTGTGATTTTCTATGCCTTCTTCAAACACTTCCTCTTTATCTTTCCTTCTCAGCAGTTTGTATGTCTACAATGAGCCTTACTGGGGTTTCCTTTGTATTTTAATTCTTTGCATATTCTTCCCTGGGATTCATTAAGTTTCTTGATCTATAAATTTACATCTTCCAAGAAATTTGGAAATTTTCAGCTATTATTTATTCAAATATTTGTCTGTCCCATTCTCTCTCTCTTCTATTTCTGGTATTTCAATCACACATATGTTAAACCTTTTGATAAGGTCTAACAAATCACCAAAATGCTTCCTAATTCTTTTTTTCTCTCTGCTCTTCAGATTGTATAACTTCCATTGATTTATTTCAAGTTCACTGACTATTTCTTCTGTCATCTTTAAATCTTCTGTTAAGCCCATCTAGAAAATTATTTCAGATAATAAGTTGTTTCTAGTTCTGGAATTTCTATCTGATTCTTTTATAGTTTCTATTTCTCTACTATGATTTCTAATTTGTTCATCATAACAAACATATTTTCCTTTACATTCTACTTATAATAACTGTTTTAAAATCCTTGACAAATAATTCCAACTTCATTTCACAGTACATCTCTATTACTTGCCGTTTTCTGGAGTTTGAATCACATTTCTTTTATTCTTCATATGTCTAGTAACTTTGGATAGTATTCCATACATTGTGAAGGATATGTTGTAGAGATGCTAGATTCTGCTATATTCCCTAAAGAGTGCTCACTTTAATTTAGCAGTTAACGTGGCTGAACTCAAATTCTAAACTCTGACCCCTGTGGTAAGAGCATCTAGTATTTCTGTTAAGTTCAAGTAGATAGTTCAGGAGATAGTCACATATTTAGACAGAATATATACAGAGTTAACTACCTTCTATGTACCTCTCTCATTCTCCAGCTGTATTGTAGCCCTAAACCTTATCTTCTGGTTTTCCAAGCTTGTTTTGAGTATAGATTTCTATCTGTGGGGCACCAATTGGTACTTTCCCTCAAGCAAAAATCTGCTAAATCCAGAATCTCAGGCAGTACCATTCTCTTCATCTTCACATTGACTCCCCTCCATTTTTTTTTTTTGCTTATTTTTAGCCATTCCAGCACTTTTAACTGATTGATTTTTAAGTTACTTCTCCTGAGTTTGTGTTTTCTACTGGAGTGAACCAGTCCACCATTACAGAAAGCAGAACTACTAATTCTTTTTGATAATTTTATAATACCCTTTGAATAAAAATTTCCCAGGCTAACATAAAGTCAAGCCAGGAATCATCATTTGATTTTAGTGAAATTAGGAGAACATATTAAATATATAAAAGCCACTGAATTATAACAGAACATTGTATGGTGCTTCAGAATTTTTTTTTTTTTGCCATATTACTCTAAATGATAGCATCTTCTCTCTGCCTACCCCTCCCTCAAATAATTCAATTTTCTATTAGATTCAAGACAAGAGCAAAAAACATCCTTACTTTTTTTGTGTTGGTTGGCTGGTTTTTGTTTCAGGGTTTTTGTTTTGCTTTGTTCTTAACATGTCTGCTGTATATTACTTTTTCTTAAGGGAGAAAAATTATAGTAAAAATAAGGTGAAATAAAAACATCCTTGCAAAACATAATCCCTAGAGAACACTGGTATTTCTATCATTCACTAAATTTATTTTGAAAACAAAAAATACGGAAATTAAAAAAAGGAGAGAAAAGAAAAATTTAGGAAAGGCTGCTGGTTGTAATTGAATATAGATAAAGTCCGGACAAAGTAATTTCTGAGAGACATACATAAAATCTGTACACTAGTAGGTAATCAAGTCAATCCTTACCTTTTGACAGCTTCGGTCAATAGGATCCACTGGTGTAGATCTGGGATGAGTTACTCTAACATCATCTCTTCCACATTCCAGATTGGCCCATAATTCAGTTATAAGTGCATTAATAAACCCTAAGAAGAATTATTTTATAACATATTTATAGTATACTATCTTTCTGGATTATGGAGGAAAAATATAATTATGCCTCTGACAAGACTGGTCCACAGTGAAAAAAGACAGATGCCTGTATTTTGTATAAGAAATACCCTCTAACCTTAGTAGAAATTGAATCTCCTATTGTTAATATACCTTTATGATACTTCATTATCATAAAACTGTAATGACTAAATTCTGAAAGATTATTTCCCTGGAGGATAGAATTCTGAGTCCCAGCATTTAGCCTTTGGTCAATAACTTCTCTGAGCATGTTTTTTCTGGAAAATAAGGTTTACACTTTACTCTGCAAATGAGCCAACAGTAAGACACAGCCTAAAAGGCAGGTGTGTGTGTGTTTGTGTGTGCGTGTGCACGTGTGTGTGAGTAGAAGGAGGTATCAGGAGGCAAGGTAGGCATCCAAAGAGTACAGTGTGTTCCCTTATTCTAATATAACTAATACTTTTTTGTAATTTCATATGCTTGGAACAATTCTACATTTCACACAGCTTTTGGCTCAATAACGTCTTTAAATTCTCATGCGTCAAATACTATTTATCTAAATGAAAAGGATTAGTAAGCCTGATCATTACATTCCTTTAGGAAGAATCAAATCATATGAAAAAGTGTAAAACAGAATATCTAATCACAAAATCTGTAAGTTCATAATAACAACACTAGAGCAGAGTCCTCTGGTACAACAGAAAAAACATAGGGTCTGAAGTCAAGAGTATCAGGGCTCAAATTACAAATCAGCCAGCTTATTAGCTGTATGTCCTAGACAAATCTCTTGACTTAGAGCATCAGTGCCCCCATTTGAAAACTGAAATAACAGCGCTACATTCAAGGGTTGTCATGAAGTATAAATGGGATGATATATGTAGAGTTCCTAATAGAGTACCTAAGACATCAGAGGAACTCAAGCAGGGTCAGTCTTCCTTCCTTTAAAAGAAGGAATTGCATTTATGAATGCATCTTTGAGAAAAATTGCATTTAACCCTCTCATGAAAAATTTGATACTATGAGACTCAGAAACTTAATGACTCAACCAAGGGAAATCTGAGATTAAATCTAGTCTCCAATGTTTCTTTTAATGTGTTTCTGAGTACTACAATAAATTGGATTTTATTCTAAGTAGAAGAAAAAATAAGTGATTCAGCTTAGGGCAACTTCTGCCAAGAAACACGTTTCTTAATACAAGTAGTCCAAATTAGTTGAGCCAAAAAATGTTTAAGATACAAGATAAAAAATATTTTCATTTAAGGAAACAATCAATAGTGGTGATTCAGCAACTATAAATTTTGAAAAATATAATTGTAGCATCTCTACGAGAGATTACATCTTGTCTCTGGTTCAGGGTTCTGATAACCTTAAGAGATGATACATTAAATTCCCAACGTTTAAACACTTTAAAAATCCAATCCATATTAGATAATACATGCCAACTGCAAACATAGTGGTGAAAGCTAGGTGGTGAGAGGAAAGCTTCAAGAATGGAAGAGAAGGAAAGGAAATAAGGAAATGGTATGTATGTGTGATTATTATAATTGTAAATTCTGATGCATATATAAGCCACTGAAACTGAGCATTAAGAAATTCTATCAGATGCAACTGTACTAAGAGAGAGGATGATATCCTTTGATTTATACGATGAGGAGGGCTTCTTAAAGTATCAAATATTTCTCAGTTTAGTTCATTATGTGCCACTGTTCTGAGGAAACAACGAAGTTGTACATATTTTCACAGGAAAAAAAATTCCCAGTGCGATTCATGGAAGAGAAAAGATAAAAAGGAAACCCTGTAACTTTCTTTTCCCTAAGGCCTAACTCCAGAAAAACAGCTTTCAAGTAAATATTCTGATACTTGATCGTGCCAGTTAAATTTCCCATTGGCTTGCTCATTTTATTTAAAATAATTATAATTCTAATTAAAAGAAAAACCTTACCTGAATTTTGTAGTGCTACTGCACCAGCTGCTGTTGATGCCACTTGTGTAACCAAAACTCCATAGCCAAACTTTTGGTGTCTGCTGATCTAAGAACATAAATAAGGAACGACTGAGAAGCAGGAAAACACAGCATGCTAATACTTATTCATATGTGACATGTATAGTTAACGAGGTTTTTTATTCATATGCTAGACATTCTTTCAAGTAAAGACAAGAAGAGAAGCAAAAACAAACTCGGAAACTGCCACAATCATGAGTTACGACTAATGTAATATATATATTTTTTTAAAGATTGGCCCTGAGCTAACATCTGTCACCAATCTTTTTTTTCCTTCTTCTTCGTCCTCTCCCCAAAGCCCCCAATACATAGTTGTATATTCTAGCTGTAGGTCCTTCTAGCTGTGCTATGTGGGACACCACCTCAGCATGGCTTGATGAGCAGTGCCACGTCCATGCCCAGGATCCGAACCAGTGAAACCCTGGGCTGCCAAAGCAGAGCACACAAACTTAACCATTCAGCCACAGGGCCAGCCCCTAATGTAACATTCTTAACAATCCTATTTCAGATCTATTCTGGTCCCAGCCCTAAAACCAAGTTGCTTTCTGACCTTGAACAAGTCACTTCTCTCTCCAGGTCTAAGTCTCTTTGCACATAAAATAAGGGACTTGGACCAGATGAAGAGTAAGATTCCTTCCAACTTTATATTCTATTTATTATTTGATTCTTTAGGTTGGTTCTTCAATCAATTTCCTCATTAATAAATTCGTACTGACTGACAATTTAACTGGGTTTTTAAACAAACGTTATAAAGAACAATGGCATCTTCTTAAAAATGACAATACATTTTAGAGGAAATGTGATTTTTTTTCTGAGGAAGTGTATATATATATACACACACATACATCCACACACACACAAAGAATCATCATCATTAATACACAGGTTTGTAAACACTGTTATAGAAAACATTAAATAAATAATTTATTTCACAAAGAGAGTACTATACATGTACTCAAGGTAAAGTACACAAGTGAGTCTGTCTCTCAGCAAAAATCAGAATAAGGAAATAAACACATCATAAAATGTTCCTCCTTTTCACACTTTGGCTAAGATAAGGTTGGCTTACAAAATGGTACTTCTAAACAAAGCTAACCATTTAGAACTTATATTTTTTCAACATTTCATTAAAAGGATATGTTTTAATCAAACTTTAAAAATATAAACTATGGAATTCAGTTATAAGGGAAAAAAGTAGAAAGAATAAGGGATTATTTCTTGAATTTTCTGCTGCTCATGTCTTTATAATGCCTTCCTTTTCCATTTTTATTACTTATATTTTCCATTTTCCTTAATTTATCATCCATTAGCTCTGCCGTTAGATGACACAACGTACAGCAAGATAAATGTCTATCCGTTTCCCACTTGCCTTCCTCCAGATCAACTGAGCAAACACCTTACGCATCAGTCACCCCACTGACCCTGCTGGCTCACATATTAGCAGCCAGGGAGCTTCCGGATCACACTAACTTCCAGAGTAGTCTGGGTCTCTACTTTCTCTTCAGCATAATTAAGGAAACGGTCTAGTTGCTTTCTTACAAGATAACTGAGAATCTAAATTTTCAGGAAATGTCTTGAATAGCCTAAAGCACCATTAAAGAACCGTACTAAATTATAGGGTTGTAAGTTACTGAGGTCCAGGGAACATTATTATTACCACCAGTGTGGCACAAAGGAAAACAAGATTGTTTTAAAATTTATGAATATAAAAAAATGACATCTAGTCCTAGGTGTATTATCACAAGAGTAAAAGCTGTCTCCATGGTTTCAAACATCTGAATGAAAAAGAAAATTGTCTCTGAATTTCTTGAATATTTTAAAAAATGGAACCCAAATGGTTAACTAGTACACAAGGAAAGATTCAAACTCACCAGCAGAGAAATTCAAATTAAAACAATTTCAATTATACAAACTTAAAAAGCCTGAAAAACTTCTATTTGCTAGTCTGAATGTCTGTGTCCCCCCAAACTTCATGTTGAAATCTTAGCCCCCGAAGGTGATGGTAGTAAGTGGAGCCTTTGGGAGGTCATTAGGTCATGAAGGTGGAAAGTCCTCATAAATGGGATTAGTGCTCTTATAAAAAAAGATCCCAGAGAGCTCCCCAGCCCCTTCCGCCATGTGAGGAAACAATGAGAAGTCTGTGAACCAGAAGAAGGCTCTCACCTGACCATGCTGGCATCCTGATCTTAAGACTTCCAGCCTCCGGAACTGTGAGCAATAAATTTCTACCGTTTATAAGCCACTCAGTCTGTGGTATTTTGTTATAATAGCCCAAATGGGCTAAGACAATAGTCTACAAGAAGTGTACATATCCAAGAGCATTACACATATCAAATACATTGGTATGGAAGCCTATGGAAGGGGAACGCATACAGGGTGAACTGAAACCGCAAACCAGGAACGACGGGAATAAAATTAACCAACAGAGAAACGTTGCATGGACAGATGAAGACCATAGGCCATGAACGGAGGCACACAAATAACTAAATTCTCTACAGTTGAGGTCTATTTAAATAAAAACAAAAACACATATCTGCACACACAAACCTAGTATCATAAACCCATGAACTAATATTCATGTTTTACTTATGAAGGGATGGTCAGGCCCCTCTTTCAGGAACTACTTATTCTTTTTTTTTTTTTTTTAATTTTTATGCATTGTCTATTTCTTGTTTTTTTTTTCCTTTTTAAGATTGACCCTGAGCTAACATCTGTTGCCAATCTTTTTTTTTTCTTCTTCTTCCCCCCGAAGCCCCTCAAGTACATAGTTGTATATTTTAGTTATAGGTCCTTCTCATTGTGTTATGTGGGATGCCACCTCAGCATGGCTTGATGAGTAGTGCTTGGTCCATACCCAGGATCCGAACAGGCAAAACCCCAGGCCACCGAAGCAGAGCGTACGAACTTAACCACTTGGCAATGGGGCCGGCCTCTCGAACTACTTACTCTTCATCAGCAAAAGCAACTCTAGAAAGTTAATTACTTGTTTTTTTATAGGCTCAAACAACAGCAGGAAGTTAGAATTGAAGAGTAAGGAAGAACAAATAAAATTGTATTCATGATCAGACAACCTAATAACATTAAGAAACAACAGCTGCCAGAGACAAAGAAAACACTTTCGAAAGGATGCTATGATCCTAAGAAAGCCCAGGAGTCTAGGGATATTTACTATGCCAGCAAAAAGCTGAATATACCTCAACGACCTTTGTCTGAGAAAAGGCTAAGTTATACCATAAATTTTATATAACAGCAGCAACAATAAAATTCCTTTACAAATATTTTGTTTCTTTTAAAACGTGAGGCCTAAACTTTCACTGACATGTACATTTAGACCCAACAGGTTTTTTTCCCAGAGTTTCACCTAATTTTAGTATATCCAGATGTTTAACATCATATTTATAAAACACATGGCTGATTAACTGAATTTTCCTATTTTATCTGGTGTTTGTCATCCTGTAAACACAGTCATAGATACCAACATCAATTCTCTAATGCTTTCCCGAAAAAATATCAAGTTCAATATTACAATGCTACATGGCTTTTTAATTGAAGTTTAATAACCTCTTCATGCACAGAAAACAGAACGATGTTCTTAATGGCTTTTACAGCAACAAAAATTCCTTTAACTGTGGCAGATGGAAATTCATACCTGTAATTTTTTTGCATATTGGTTGAACATAAATGTCACACATTCATTGATGGCTCCCGTCTTTTGAAGAAGTAGTAGTCCCTTGGGGGTGGCAGCAAAATTTAGTAAGTCATCTAACAAATTCTCTTCCCAAGCCATACTGAAACAGGTAAAAGAAAGCTATGAATTTCTTTATTACCCTCAAAACTAAAAGAAAACAGTTCAGTTTAATACTGCTAATTAAATTTACAGAGTACACACTGGTTGCAAAGTACTCAAAAAAATAAAATAAAAAGTACAGTTTCCTTGACAGTGAGTTCTCTCATTCTTATATCTTCTATCCCAATAATTTGCCTTCACTGAATGAATCAATATTAACTGCATATGTCAGCATTTTTATTACACCTTGGTTCTCTCATCTACGCCTTAATTTCATTGTTTTCCCCTTACAATTCTGCTGTGCCTGGATTCCCCAAGCCCCAATTCACCACTATGTCTATACTTCCTTTTCATCATAGGGTATCTGTCTTCTGACTTTATAAAGCACATCAGCCATATATTTTCATAGCTTTTTAATTCAACTTTTGGAGAATGACATTTTCTTTCTCAGAACACTTCTAAAAGGAAGGCCAGAAACATTCTCCAGAGAAAAACTCGAAACATTCAGAAGACACACAGTTAATAGAAGAGTCAGGGCTAGAAATCTGGAAACACAGGAAGGAATATGAGCACTTCAGTCTGAAGCACCAGAAGTAAGAGAAAATTTACAACTCCAGCTGTCTGGAAAGAAACCGTGGATATTAAAATAGTTCAAAATCAAAAGTTTATGTACAGTAAAACGGTGAGTATGGAAAAGTATGCCCCCCCCCCCCCAACCACCAAGGAAGTTTCAGAAGTCTGTTTTAGGACTGATTACAAGACAGATTTGAAATCCAGGACTTTTCTGATCAAAAAAGGAAGGATCAGTACATGTTTCGACACATATTCCTCTGACACATATTCATTACACAGCAATGACCAAAAGATACAACCATGTTCAAATCCAAAATAAACATCACCATGGACAAAGAGAACAGAAGCACAAAGAAGTGAGTAACACTGTAGTTCTCAGGCAAAAGCAGACAATGGAAATCAAATTTGGCTCCAGTAGGATAAAAAGGACCAAAAGAGTTACATATGAGACAAAAGACCAGTGCTAGGCTCATTGCTTAAGACTTATGACCAGGTAAGACTAGTAAAAAGAATATGTATGTAACTGAAATTAAACTTTATAATTAATTTATACACTTAAAGAAAATACAATAAACAAAATATAAACATATAAAGTGTGCCCCAAACTGGGACTTTTGATAAGCCATAAGCCTAGGGAGACAGGAAGATACAGAGAAAGCCTCATTTCTAGAGATGAGCAGATGACCAGTTCATCTTTTAGTTTTTAACTGTTATCTGTAATACCTTCATCATTGCTGATAGGAGCCTCAAAATGCCAATATAATGTTTATTTAAAACATGGGGGTAAAAGAGAAAAACCATAAAACTGCTGCACAGGGAGGAATGAACATAGAAATAGAAATCTGGAGAAACAGGGAGGGAGGAAGGAAAACAGGAAAGAAAAAAAGACATTTAAACATGGACAGGCAATCAAATTTCAAAAGATATCTAAGCTAAGAGCCAGCAGAATCAGCATTCACCAAATGAATCCATTCCAGTTGAAATAATTTTCAGAAACAATGACTTTATAATAATTTTATTTCCAATGCTCAAAGGAAATTGTTTTTCACTTCCATAAAAACTGTGAAGCCAAAAGCAGCAATGAAATGAAAACAGGTAGATTTTTTTTAAAAGAAATTGGAAATCTTGACAATAATAGCCACTTAAAGCAAAAGGGATAAATTCTAGGTCAGTCAAAGAATTAGTGAATTGAATGGTAGATAAATAAGAAATAAATGTTTGAGAAAACAGATGAGACACAGAACATAGACTGAAAAATCTCAAAAAGCATCTAATAAAAGCTCCAAGACAAAAGAATGGAAGGAGTATCTGGAAAGATTACGGAAAATTTTCTAGATTTGAGGAAAGACACCAGATCAGTCTAAAGCTCAATAGAACATTCAAAGTACCAAGCAGTGTAAACTTAAATCACATAGAAACAGGAAATATCTAAAAAAGAAATTAAAAGTTATGAGAGAAAAAAAGGTGACCTATAAAAGAAAGGTGATTATACTAACATTTATCCGTTACTACTTATTCCAGAAGACAGTGGAGTAATGGCCTGAACACTAATGACAAGCAATTGTCTATCAAAACTTTTACACATGGATAAACTACCATTTAAGTGTGAGTTTGTGAGTGTGTGAGTGTGTGAGAGAGGAAGGGTTCAGCGAAGGCCTGTATGCGCCAGCATGCTGATGAGGGGGAGTTGTGAGGGGAGGGGGTGGTTTGTGTGGGTTGAAGGGAGAAGAGCCATTCTCAGACACAGAAAGATAACAACAGTTTACTACCCTCAAACCTTTAAAGAACAATTAAAGGATAACTATTTGGGGGAACTTAAAAATATACTTCATTAGGAAAAAAGAGAGCCTATCAAAAAGAATGGGTTATAAGTTTCAACAAATGACATAAAGTAAACGTAGCAACAAATTTAATATTAGACTGTCAGAAGAAGTAAGTTAGGTGATTAAAAAATAGAAAATCAAAATTCTAGATAACTATAACAAGATTAAGAGTTATAGAGTGTTTAGAGGATCAATGACTGGTCAAAGTGTGCTAAAACCCATGTTGCTTTTCAAAACATGACATGAATACCCAATTACTTTATACTTTCATAGGAAACATGTACAGTTAAATATATACATTCAGAATTTAGGAATAACCACTTAAACTTGACTAATAATATCAAAACCAAGGGAAAAATAAGAATAAAAACTTTTATTGCTGTAAGATAAGGCAATAAAGGAGAAAAGCAAAGAAAATAGAACGTAAGCAGAAAATATAAGAAAAATAAACCCCAAATATATTAGTATTATAAAAATTTTAAAAACTTAAACTCACCTAATGAAAAAACAGAGATTGCCAGATCAGATAAAAACACAAAATTTACAACTCTAAATGGTAGAAAATAAAGGGATGAAAAAAAATACTGTGTGTTAACAGATAATATTGACTGACTGACCCAATCTCCATCTACAGCTCCTTTTTCACCAACTCTCATCCAGTGAGAGACAGCCATATGACAAATTCAAAAAGATGTTGACCAAAAAAATGTAATGAGAGAGATTCCTTTCCTGAATAAAAGACAAGGTATCATGAAAACAAATCATTTGCTCTCCACCTTCTTTTCTTAGAAGGCAGCTGGGAGATCTAGAGGTTTGCTGGCCAGTGTATAATCTTAAGGGCAAAAAGCAAACAACGATGATGCAGAACAAGAGAAAAGGAGGCTGGGTCTCAAACAGCGTCAATAAGCCAATGCCTGGACATTCCACCAAGATTCTTCTCATTATATGAGAAAAAGAAAGCCTTTCTGAGTTATCTGCAAACAAAAACACTCTTAACCAACATACTATGCAAATACTAACTAAAGCAGATTCAGCAACATTATCACATAATATAAAATTGAAAGCAAAGTACAACAGTAATAAGATAATGAGACACTATATATAATGAAAGGAAAAAGTTACCAAGACATAACAGTGAACTTCTATGTTTCTAATGGCATAGAATGTAAATTTGTTGTCAGTGCCACTGAGCTGATTCTAACTCCTAGCGACAGTGTGGACAGCAGAGCGGAACCCACCCGGTCTTTCCGCACCATCCTCTCTCTTCCAGCACTGCAGCAGACAGTGCTCTGCTGCTATTCACAGGGTTTTCAGGGCCAACTTTTTCCGGAAGTGGATGGCCAAGTGCTTCTTCCTAGTCAGTCCTAGTCTAGAAGTTCCACTGAAACCTGTCCACCATGGGTGACTTTGCTGGTATTTGAAATACCAGTGGCATAGCTTTCAGCATCACAGCAACACGCAGCCACCACAGTATGACAACTGACAGACAGGTGGTGTGGTTCCCTGACTAGGGAACGAACTCGAGCCACAGCACTGAAAGCACCAAATATTAACCACTAGACCACCAGAGAATGCAAATATATAAACCAAAACACCAGAATTGCAAAGAGAAATGGACAGATCCACTTCTATAGTGAATGATTATAAATCAAGCAAAATACAGATGGAGGTATTGAAAATCTGAATAACTATCTATATCTGCTTCCCATGAAGAACATAAAATAGACTTTTCAAGCAAAGACAAATTTGTATTTTAATTGACCCTGTACCACTCACAAAATCTCAACCAACCTAAAAGGATACACACCTCGCAATCTATGTTCTCTGAAAAGAATAGAAATTAATTAGAAGTCAACAGCAAAATAAGATAGTAGTAAAAACAACTATGTTTGGAAACTTAATGTATTCCAAATATTTCATGGATTAAAGAGTAAAATCACAGTAGAAAGTTCTTAAAAAATAATTACAAGAGTTTATTAAAGTGCTACATATCAAAATGTATTAAAATTAGAATGGCTGATGTAGACTGCTTCTCTCTTTTTTTTCCCCTTCTTCTCCCCAAAGCCCCCCAGTAAATAGTTGTATATTCTAGTTGTAGGTCCTTCTAGTTGTACTATGTGAGATGCCACCTCAGCATGGCTTGATGAGCCATGCTAAATCCGCACCCAGGATCCAAATCAGCAAAACCCTGGGCTGCCAAAGCAGAGCACTGGAACTTAACCACTCAGCCACTCGGCTGGCTCCTAGACTGCTTCTCTCAACATCCATTTTCAATCCCCTTTCACTTATTTTCCTGTCCTACAGAAGTGAGAGAAGGATAGAAAGAAAAAGAGCATTAGCAAAACCAAAACCTGGTCTTTGCATGAACAAATGCAATAAACTGTCAAGGGAGAAAATGGCCAAAAAATACTATGAATCAAAAAATGGAAAATAATTACAGCTAAAGAACTAAAAGAAAACAACACACAATACTTTGAACAAATTAACACCAAAAAGCTATTCAGATAAAAAGTGTAATGTTATTTTTTAGAAAATATAATCAGAAGTCACTTAATGGCTGGCCTGGTAGTGCAGTGGTTAAGTCCGGCATGCTATTCTTTGGCAGCACAGGGTTCGTGGGTTGGGATCCCTGCCATGGGACCTACACCACTTGTCAGCCACACTTTGGCGGTGACCCACATACAGAAAAATAGAGGAAGATTGGCAACAGATGTTAGCTCAAAGTGAAGATTCCTCACCAAAAAAAAAAAAAAAAGTCATTTAAGCAGAAATAAGAAACCTGAATGAACCATTAGCCATTAAACATAAACCTGCAGGCTGTATCCCATACTTCTGAAAAATAAAAAAGAGCTGACATACTTTGGTTTATCTTTTCTGCTACTATCTTAGCATTTAATTCTCCTCAAATTATAGTGAAAATACTCTGAATGTTTCAAAATGGAAGGAAGATCCAAGCCACTGAATTTGTTTACTGGCCTTGAGGGAGGGGCAGATGCTTTGCTAGCTTATGACAACTCCGTTTTTTGAATGGTTATATCCTAGGGACAGTTAGACACTCGAGGAAATTAAGTTTTAGATGTTTACTTTTATTTCTTAGAATCACAGGCTGAGTTTTGCACATCAAAGATCCCCCATTATTTAACCCTCTAGTTTTACCAAAGGCCCCTTGATGACTGGTTGGGGCAAGTTGCTTTCCCGTGTGATTACATTTTTATCTATGGTCATGCTAATGGTGGTACTATGTTGCTTGCAATCACTGATATCAACCAAACCCGACTTGTAGAAATTTCATTTGGGGTTGCAATTCAAAGTCTAGATTTAAAAAACATCAACCCCCATGATGACTATACAACAGCTTCTATCTTCTCTGAAGTACTGTAAGCATCAATAATGGGAGGATGAAGAGGGAATCTCCAAAATATGCTGTCAGAAAATATAAGTTCAAAATGCCTAACATTAGTCTGTCAGAAGCTCAAAAATAGGAATTAACTTTAGCAACTTCCTCTTAATTTTACCTTTATCATAGCAGTCTTACTGTTGGTATCATTATTTAGAAACTAGGGTCTTGGGGTAGGAGAAGCATCATTCATTCATTCATTCACTGATTCAACAAAGTTCTCAGGCTTCTGCTAAGTGCTGGCATCAGGCTAGGCTGGTTAACTGGCCCAGATGGTTTGACACACAAGTTTCAACAAACTGTAAAGGAACAAATAATGCCTATCTCCTAATTAATGTAAAAGAGCAAAAGATACTCAGCTCTTACTATGAGGTAACTGAATTTTGATGACAAAAATGAAATCAACAATTCTGACTACCTTATCAAAAATTCTCTTAAAGCTTTTCCAAGACATTAATAACAGATGGTGAGCGGACCTCTTTTTCTTCTGGCATCCAATTTCCACATGGAGCACATTCCCCAGCTTAATGCTGCTTGCCTCTCTCTACCCAATCACTTGTTCTTCCCCATGAAAGAAGGGACTCAGATTTGGAGGATGACCTAAGCATGTTTGCCTAAGCAATGCGTCTCCACCAGTCCACTTCCTCTTTGAGACCTAACTACCTGTAGGAAGCACACATTCTGCTCTGTTCTACTATGTAGCTAAGTTTGATCTCTGCAAGCTCCGCCTTCAACAGAAGCCTGTGGCTGTCCACTGTCGACTGTGACAGAAGGGTAAATCTGTCTAATTCTTCAGATCAGTCTTAGGAAGCCTATGTTATTCAGTGTGCTGATTTGCTTGACTTTTTTATCTCTTAATTGATTCACAACTCAGGAGGGAAGGAGTGGCATATAATTTACTAGTTCCTTAACACTCTAACATCAGAATCTAGAAATATTACTGACAGTAAAATGTGTGTCAAATACGTTAATTAGGGGCTGGCCCACTGGCCGAGTGGTTCAGTTCGCACTCTGCTTCGGCGGCCCAGGGTTTCACCGGTTCAGATCCTGGGCACGGACATAGCACCACTCATCAGGTCATGTTGAGGCCGCATCCCACATGTCACAACTAGAAGGACCCACAACTAAAATATACAAGTATGTACTGGGGGGATTTGGGGAGAAAAAGCAATTAAAAAAAAAGAAAAGATTAGCAACAGTTGTTAGCTCAGGTATCGATCTTAAAAAAAAAATACGTTAATTATGTTCCCTCTTACTTCTAGCCTATTGACCACACTATTTCTTCCCCTGGAATCATTTTAATTCCATGGATTCATTTTAATTTAGTTTAACAACAACTTCTTCTTGAAAGATTTCCCCTACAAGTTAGCTCCAATGGACCTTACTTGACCCCTACCATATAAATTTAGCATACTATAATGTCACATTGCATTTACTTATTTGTATTCCACACTACACAATCAGCTCTCTAAAGCATATAGGTATCCTCAGGACTCAGCAAAGCACTTGGTCCAATAGATAGCTGAATCAATGAGTAGAAAATGAACACATGAATGAAAATGAAAACCAACAGACAAATCATAGAAGATCTCAATGAAAACAGATCTAAAAACAGAAATGTTTCTTCTTACTCCCACATGCAAAAAACAAAAGGCAGTTGATCTGACAACTATATCAGAAAAAATTACAGTTCATTTTAGAGAATTAACTATTGTCGAACCATTATACTGTTAAGGAAATGCAAAAAGCTTTTTGTTTGACTGGCTGTTTGGTTTTGCTTGTTTGTTTTTTAAGCTGAAACTATAGCTACCTAAAAAGAAACCTTGACTTTTTTAATTTCTCTTAACCAAGTATATCACTTAAAGTTCTCTCTAATTACCTTTTAGACTATGCCAACACTCAATTAAGAAGAGATTCTAGGAACATTTGTCACCAGATCTTAATTTTAAAAATAGCTATTTCTTCCCCATTAATCTGACTGCATATCCTATTGATATCTGTGAAAAAACATGGAGGCATTTAAATCAAAAATTGGTATAATTACTGATTTAAATAATTTTCCAATGCCAAAATCTAATTAAAATGCACTCCCACACATTTTGAAGAGTCATAATTTAAAAATAAATGGACTTCATTGGCATTTGAAAACACTTTACTTCTACTGAACTCCCTAGTTTTAGCTTTCTAATTTTAGTATTTGGTAATTCTCCAAGTTTTCTGGAAACACTACAACATGTCAAGTTTCCTAACCCAAAATGTAAATACAGGATGAAGGAAATAAAATATTGCTAGATTTCTTTTTTTGAAAGGTACAAGTATTATATGATCTCTGAAGTTCCTCCTAGGTGTAATTTCCCTTGATCCTATATGTATATATTAACCTTCCTGTAAAATCTTTTTTGCTACAATAGTCTATTACATTCTCATTTTAAAATTATTTCAGCAAATGTAAAAAACAAATGAGTTTAAATCAATTGTACTTACATGTTTGGGGATTCCAGGTTTATCGAAGAAATAGAATCTGAACCCACCACTGGAGTAGGAATTCTTTCTGATAGCAAACTTGTCTAAAATATAATAGATCAATTTACATTATATATATATTTTTATTGACAGCATTACTCATAAGATCTCGTGCTACATTTTTATATTTGATTCTTGATGTAATTAAATTACCTTCAAAATTTAAGTTATTTGATTCTTAAATATCACGTAAATTGCTTCATAAAGCATTTAAACAGGGTAAAAAGACTTAGTCCACTAATATATATTTGACTATTGCTACACTATCATCTCCAGTGTCCATAAGAAAAACTCAGCTGTCTGTAAAGACTGCTCAAATTCAAGTTTAAACTTCCAAAGAGGTTTGCCAGTACTGCCTCTCTGGTACTAAAGTCTAGTACTAAAGGCGGTACTAAAGTCATCTTGTGCCAAATGAGAAAGCATTACGTATTAGAGTACTGTGATGCTAACGAAGCCATATTTGCTCCAGTAAAATATTTTAACACCAGTAAGATACTACAATAGTGACTATTTGAAATAAAGATTAGCAGGGAAGAAAAAAGAAGTTCAGGAATACTTGCCTTCTTCCATGCCTTTGCTATAGATTCATGCAAATTATAAGGAAGTGACACCTGCAAGCCTTCACACGTACTATATATGTGACGACACACGGAAATGAAAGCTCCTTTAACCACAGGCAACATTTCCGATCCAGAAAAAATACAAATATCTTCATCTAGAAGTTTTTTCGAAAACTGGGCAATTATATGAGCACCTGTAGGACTAAAAGATGAAACCTAAAAGTGATTCTAAGCTTACAAATCATTATTTCATAGAGCACTAGCAAAAAGGAGGCCTAGCACAAACTGCAGTTGGCTGGTTCCTTCTTTGTCCTCCTCTAGCTTTTCTCTGACTTCTCCATATTCCTGCTCCTACCCACGTGCAGCTGTCTAATAATGAGAGCAGTTTCAGTAGAAAAGAGTAAAGAACATATGGATAGGAAAAAGCAACAAGACTACACACTTACAGGGTTATAGACATCATGGGTCCAGGGCCACACATAACTTCGCTTGATTCTATAGTGAAAACATAATGCTGAGTTCTCCATTCCTAGCACTTGTTATACGTTTCCTATTCCATTATCAGGACTTAGCTCCCCTAACTCAAAGGCTGGGACACTCTAATAGTAATAATAATAATAGATAAAGAAGAACACAGTAAATGTTTATAAAGTGCCAGGCAATGTTGTATTTTAAGTGTATTAACTTATTTAGTCCTTACAATAAACCTATGAAGCAGCTATATTATTCTTCAATTTTTACAGATAAGAAAATATAGCTAAGGCTTACAGAAGTTAAGTAACTTGAACAATATCACACAGCTAGCAAGAGCTGGAGCCAAGACTCAAACCCAGGCTGTCTGGCTTCAGAACAGCACACTTTTCATTAGTTTTTCTGGCTTTAAAAAAATAAAATAGGCAGTAGACAGGATAAGGTACTGACTCTCCATGTACTCCTCATCTATCTTCAACAGTTACAGCATTTTGCCAGTCTTGTTTTATTTATTCCCTGTCCTCGCCCTCTACTGGAGTATAATACGATAAATTCCAAAAATCATATCATTTTACCCAGTGTCCATCTCTAACTGATAAAGGTTTCTATGTTACATGCTAATACCCCACCCAACAAAATTCATTACAACTTTTTACTATCTGACAGCCTATGTCAAAATTCCCCTGACTCTCTTAAGGTTGTCTTTTTACAATAGGTTTATTCAAATCAGAATTCAAACAAGGCCCACAGAGCGCAGCAGGTTGCTGTAGTTATTTAGGCCCCTTTCCCTTTGTCCCACATCACTGATTCGTTGGAGAAATGGAGTTATTTTTCCCGTCCATTCTTTATTTAGATAATTGCTTCACCACGGTATCATTTAGTACGTTCCTCTAGTTCCCCATATTTCCTATAAAGTGATAATTAGATCTAGAAACTTAATTAGATTTAAGTTCAATTACTTTTCTTTTTTCTTGGCAAAATAACTTCAGAGGTGGCTGCTGCTGTGCACCTCCTCTCGCATCACATCACAAGGCACATGTCTGGTTGGCCCAGTTTTAGTAGTGCTAAAACTCAGTCCATCAGATGGTATCGGCCTGAACTCCCCAGTAGGAAGTCCTTCCCATCAGCCTTTCATCTAAAGGTTTTAGCATCAATTCATGATCATTTCCTAAATCCACTATTTCTTTAGGGTTTACCAAATGGTGACTCTAATTATATTACTTATTTTGTGTTTTATTAGCTAAAATTTTCTATGAAGAACTTTATCCTCAGGAACTTAAAAGTTATATTAAAAAAGTGTTTGTACAGGAAAGCCTGGAAAAAATGCTTGAATCTTTTTTTATCAATTTGCAAAGTAATGAATTGGTGCCAACACGACCTCAATAGGTAATTGACAAGGTCGTCTTTAAAATTTTTTTAAATTTTCGTACCTTTTTTAAAACCATGTATCTTTATGTACTTTATATGTACTTTGATCCATCGCAGTCATTATTTTCTTGGTCTTCAAATTTCCCACCTTAAATCAGTAGGAGGCCCCTTCTGGTAGCTTGGAGGTACTTTTGACACTATCCTACTAGTCTTAGATATTTCCTCAATGTCTAAAAGAGTTAAGATATCCCAGGATCACCCAGCACATTTTCTGGCCCAACCTAGAAACAGCAATTTCTTCAAAGATCCCACCCTCTTCTTAGAGCAAAAGAGATATTTAGAGACCACAATCTGGATGCCAGTTCAAGGTGAAGGGGTTGTCATTACTTCTAGGCCTTTCCAGTGGTAGTGCTAAGAAAAGTAATTTTTTAAGAAAAATAAGTTTAGACTTATATTTCCATTATGAATATAAAATTCAAGTTATTCTAGTTCCTTATGATGCTAACTGATATTTGCTTCATCTTAGAATATGTGCATAATAGTTCCAAAATATACACAAAGTAGTTTAAGATTGATGATTTTCCACTTCAATGATTTTTTTTTACCTTAGAACATATCCCACTATAAACGTTCAATCAACTTAGGTCACTTGAACTAATTCTTTTCTCTGCATGGGTATGTCACTAACTTGACTATTTGGTGGTTAAATTCACTTATTTCCATCAGTTTGAATTTTTTTAATTTGACTTTTTTAAAATTTAACTTTGTTTTACATTTAGTATGTAAAAGTTACACGGTTCCAAAATCAAATCTAGGTACAATTAAGGTATACCCTACATGTCTTACACCCACACCTCCCTATCCACCAATTGTTCTCCCTTCCTCTAAAACTATTGTCATTACTTTTCAGTTTATCTTTTCATCATTCCCTTTTGAAAAATATAAATAAATATGATTTATTCATATTACCTTCTATTATACAGAAGGTAGCATTCTATGAACATTCTTCTGTGTTTTGTTCTTTCACTTAGTGTATCCTGAAGATAACGCCCCAGCAGTACACCAAAAAGCCCTCACTCCCTTTTTACAGCTGCTAAGCACTCTGTTGTGTGAACATAATTTAATCAACTAGCGTCTTGTTAACAGACATTCAAGATTCCAATCTTTTGCTAATATAATTAATCAGAAACTCTTAAGTACTGCACAATGAGGAGTCAGAAGAAATTCTTTCTGACACTTTATGTCTTATCTGTTTAACTTCAATGTGAGGGAGATTGCTAAAAGAAAAAACCTAGAAATCATAAAGATAATGATTGGAAAAAACTTGACTACATACAATTACATTATATCTATACAGCAGGAAAAAACTTAAAAGGGAAGTGATGGACAATAAAAACAAACCTTGGAATTCATGACAAAGAGACTTCCTAATTTTAAAAAAGAATTGTTATATACAGGTAAGAAAAAGTCTTCCAGTTAAATATGGCAGATTGAACACACATTCACATCTGCTTCCTCCTGAAATACTAAAGTGCAAAACTAAACAATTTTCAGAAGGCTTTTATAGCTGTCAAGGACAAGAAGAAAGGATGTGATAGTAACAAAGTTTTGGAACCTAGAAAGTAGAACAACAAGGAGTAATTCAGGACCTGGAAAAACCAAATCATCAACCAGTGCAGAAAAGAGAATCAACACAATTATTTCATAGAACTTCTCAAAAAACTCAAATTGGTGGCACCAAATATCTATGGAATTGGGGTTAAAAGTGGGACTGAAAACAGAAGAGTTGCCTGAAAGTCAGTTTAAGAATGAGTTTGCAGGGCCAGCCCCATGGCCTAGTGGTTGAGTTTGGCATGCTCCACTTCAGTGGCCCATATTCACAGGTTCAGATCCCAGGCACGGACCAACACCATTTGTTAGCCATGCTGTGGCAGCAACCCACATATAAAGTGCAGGAAGATTGGCACAGATGTTAGCTCAGGGCTAACCTTCCTCAGCAAAAATAAATTAATTAATTAAATTAATTTTTTTAAAAAAAGAATGAGTTTGACCTCCAGATTCCCTACCACATTCTGTGCAACCACTCCAGTGCACTTCTTGGAAGGTAGGCAGAGGTCAAGAACATAGACGGTCCCATGTGATTAAATCAAAGTTTATATAGTAAAGCTTGAAACCCATCACCTTTTCTACCCAGTTGTCTTCTCCCACTAGGCTTATACTCTCTTCATGCAGCTACTATAAGAGCCTTCTCTATGGAATCTGACCGGAACAAAGAAAAGACTAAAGTTACTGACATTAAAGGTTCCCCAAACAATAACACAGCAAGCTTCCTCTACAGTAAAGGCCACAGGTGACAAGGCCCACTTTTCTGCAGTTTTCAAGCAGCTTTTTAATGACTTTTAAATATTTGAAGAAATCTCTAATTTAAAAAGGGACCAAGACAACAAATACAAAAATCAACTTGAAAGGACAAAAGAAAATGAGAAATGAGAACTTCATTACCTTCATAGAGGTAAAAGAACTTATATTCATGAAACAAAAATAGGATGATAGAGGCCGGCCCCATGGCTGAGTGATTCAAGTTCCATGTGCTCTGCTTCAGTGGCCTGGGTTTGAGGGTTCAGATCCTGGGCATGGACCTACTCCACTCATCAGCTATGCTGTGGAGGCATCCCACAAACAAAGTAGAGGCGGACTGGAACAGATGTTAGCTTAGGGCTAATCTTCTTCAACCTTGGCAATGGATGTTAGCTCAGGGCAAAGCTTCCTCACCAAAAAAAAAAAAGAAAAAAAAGAATAGGATGCTATAGCAAGAATGTGCTCTTCTAAAAAGAAGAATACAACTTCAGAAATGAAAATCTCAATTTCAACAGAAGGACTGAAAAATACAGTTGAGGATTTCCTAGAAAATGAAAAAAAAGAAGGCAAGGCATAGAAAATAGAACAGATAAGGAAGTCTAAATCCAAATAATACGAGTTTAAGAGAAAAAAGAAATAATCCAGCTATCTTCCCTAAATGGAAAGACATAAATCTTCAAATTAAAAATGTACATCGAGTAGATAAAAGTAGAACTTCATCAAGAGATATCATCATAAAATTTCAAACAGTAATAGCCAAGAGAAGATTGAAAAGCTTCCAGAAGGAGGGGAAAAATATAAAGCTACCCCATAATGAGGATAAAGGTTGTTAGCAGCATAAAAGCTATGTGCCAGACCAAGGCAGCAACTGGTCCTGAATAAAATAGGTCAGAAGGCTTTAAAAAAAAAGTCTTCCATAAAATTAAATTGATAGAATTTGTCTAGTATTTGAATATATTGAGAGAAGACAATTAATTAGGAAAGACCACGTGGATGATATAGCAA